CCATGATTAATGCCATCATTCACTGTTAACTTATAAGGAGCACTTAACTTAAAAACATAAGACTAGAATGACCAACTGACCTGAATGTTAGCTTAGAAAGCTCAAATCACATTGATATTTAAAACACATAATGACTGTTTGGTAGACCCACTCATTTGCTGCTACTGTGCAGTCATGTTGCAACTCTCACATCTTTCAATTTGCTCCCACTGCTGCAGCTTTTACACAACTCTAACACTCCTCCTTGGTGTTAAAGCTGTAAAATCAAAACAAAAATAGATTCAGCCCTTTGTTGTCCATCTTGTGCTTGGTTTTCACATTTTTTCTCCATAGTCACGTACCATCCTTCTCAAACAACCTCAGCTCCTCCTTCATTATAGCTTTCCTTCTTTGGATTTTGCTGCCTCAAACAAATTTTGGAGGTTTTGCAACTAAGTTGCATTTTTTGAGTAAATAAAACAAGGATTTTGGTACCTCAAAGTGCTGCTTCATCATCTTCTACACTTCTACAGCTTTCTTGGGCTAAAGACTTGGCTACTCAGTCATGAAAATGACTTGATGCAATGTTGAGTACTCTCATGGTCCCAATCTGCACCTTCACAAGCCATCCTTGCTTTTTTGGACTAATGCTGTAGCATAAAACACCACCCATACCAGCAACATAAAACATCATCAAACCAACATTTTTTGACCTTGCTTCTTGCAGATCTTCTCCCTCAAGAAGATTGAAGGACATTAAGTTAACTTTCAACTTCACAACTTCACATACTCTCTTCTGCCTTAACAAATTGGTTGCATCCTTTTATCAACCACTTTCGAAGATTGAAAGACCTTAAGTTAACCTTTATAATCACAGCATCTTTGCTGCATTTTTGGTCAGAGGAGTTTGCTGTGCTGGGTCAGAAAAAAAAAAACATTTTGAAAGAAAAACTGTTGGAAACTATGTGGGTTTGGTAAGAGTTTATGGTGGTAGATTTCTCTCAAATCACTCTCATACAGGCCTTCAAAGATTATGAAAGGCTCTGATACCATGTTCATGTTTTTCACAAAGAAAAATGGAGAGAACATAGGTAGGAAGATGAAGAGCAGAACACAATTAAAAATAGAGAGAAAACTAGGAGGAGCATAAACGAAAATGGAGAAGAAGTATATTACTTCTGTAACGTTTTTGCTCAAAGGAAAAAGGAAAAATGGAGAGAAAAAACATAGAGAAAAATGAGCAGAACACAGAAATGATCATTGATTTCTCCTTTTATGCAAAATAAACACTAGCTTTCGGGAAAAAGGAAGAGTAGTTTACCAAAGTACAAGTAGCTTAATTTTAGCCCCCTACTTAAGTGTCTATACTGACAGAAGGTTAACAAAAAGCTACCTAACCAAAGGTCAAATTACATCAAAAAATCAGACACTAAATTGTTGCAGCATGTGATGGCACAGTATTTCGAAAACTACAAAAATCTGAACTTCATTCAACACTCCTCCTTGGCATCCAAGCTGCAAACGCCAAGCTTGTTTCTAAGAGCTTCAAATCTGATCTTCTGTAAGCCCTTAGTGAAAATATCAGCAACATTTTCTTCAGAGGAGCAGTGCACCATAATAATATCACCATCATTTTCTGCAACTCTAACAATATGATACTTCAATTTAAAATGTTTTGTCTTTCCATGAAAGACTGGATTTTTAGCAATAGCAACTGCAGCTTTGCTATCACACAACATTTCAGTAGGATTGGATTGAGCATGATGAACATCAACCAACAATTTCCTTAACCAAATAGCCTAATCCACAACAGTTGCAGCAACTATATATTCAGCTTCTGCAGTGGAATGTGCAAGTGTAACTTGCTTTTGAGAACACCAACTTATAACACTTGATTCGAGAGTGAAACAAAAACCAGTGGTGCTTTTCATATCATCCTCAGACCCTGCCCAATCACTATCACAAAAGCCAAGTAACTTAATTTTCTCAGCTCTAGGATAGAAAACACCAAAACCAACAGTTGCCTTCAAATATCTGAATATTCTTTTAACACCCTTGAGATGAACTTCAGTAGGTGAATGCATAAACCTTGAAAGTAAACTAACAACATGCATTATATTAGGCCTGGTAGCAGATAAATATAGAAGGCTGCCAATCATACTTCTATATACCCCTACATCAACATTTGTTGAACCATCATTGGCTTGGTATTTAACTCCTGACATAAAAGGAGTACTAACTAGCCTGCAGTTTGACATAGCAAATTTGCTCAAAATCTCACTCTTAAAATTTCTTTGGCAAATAACAATGCCTTTGTTGGATTGATCAATCTCCATACCAAGAAAATATGTCATTTTGCCCAGATCATTCATGTCAAAAATTTGCAGCATGTCAATCTTGAACTGATTCAAAGTAGCTTCATCATTTCCTGTGACTAGCAAATCATCAACATATACGGAGACTATAACAAGTACTCCATTCTTCTTTTTCACATAAAGAGTAGCCTCACTTAGACTCTTCTCAAATCCAAGACTCAGTAAGTGATCATCAATTTTGCAGTTCCAAGCTCTAGGAGCTTGTTTTAGCCCGTACAAGGCCTTTTTAAGCAAATACACTTTATTCTCTACACCATCTTGCACAAACCCTTCTGGCTGCTCAACAAATATTTCTTCTTCCAATTTGCCATTTAAAAATGCTGATTTGACATCAAGATGGAAGACATTCCAGCCTTTGTGTGTTGCAAGAGCCAACATGCACCGGGGGAAAGCACCAGGAAAGTGCACTAGGATTGCAAGTCAACAAAACTCAGACTACCCTCTGCAGACTAGAAATAGGCCGGTGCAATTTTGTCAAAAGTGGCCACTAAATTCCACAAAGATGGCTAACTCCCAACTGCATTTTCACTTTTCATTTATTGCCTTATGTTAGATTTTGCCTATAAATAGCTATGTTCCCGTCATTGTATGCAGAAGTTTTAATCCAAAATTTCAGTTAATGAAGTTCCAATTCTCCTTTGTTTTCAGTGAGTTTCTTGAGAGTGGATTCTCTCAATTTATCTCTGTATCTTAGGTCTTGCCAACCTAAGTGATGATCCTGGCAATCGAATTCATCGTAGTGGGATTTTAAATCTTGCCAAAATCGGTGTTTCGGTATCGGTTCCTACGCCACAACAACAATCTGATAGTTTCATGTCTTGCTACAGGTGCAAAGGTCTCAGTAAAATCAATTCCAGCCAATTGAGAGTAACCTTTCACCACCAATCTTGCCTTATATTTGTTGATGGTGCCATCAGAATTCATCTTGACCCTATATA